TTTTAATGGGTATGCAGAGATATCTTACTGTGGTCTTAATTTGCAATTCCCTGTTGATGAATTAAGTTGAATATTTTGCATATGTTCATTGGCTACTGGATAGTCTCTTTTATAAAAAGTACCTATTCAAGCCTTCTGTCCTTTTTAAAAATTGGATTGCCTAACTTTTTCATACTATTTGTATGAGTTCTTTTTATATTCTGGATAGAAGTCCTTTATGAGATATGTATTGCAAATATCTTCCCCACTCTGTGGCTTGCCTTTTACTCTTTTATTTGGTGTTTAATTAATAGAATCCCTTAATTTAATGTGGCATATCTGTCAGTTTTTTCTTTTATGGCTACTATTTTTTGGGGGTGGGGATCCAATTTAATAAATGTTTTCCCATTCCAAGATTGTGAGGACATACTCCTCTGTATTTTCTTGCAGAAGACTGACCTATCCATCTACCTATGCCTTTCGTATTTAAATCTGAAGTATATGGAATTGATTTTGGTGTACAGTGTAATGTAGGGGGGGGTCATAGTTCTATTTTTTTCCTAACATCCAATTTACCTAACATCATTTTACTGAAAAGATCATCTTTTCCCCCACCATACTGCAGTGGTACCTTTACTGTAAATCAGGTGTCCATATACGTGAATCTGGAATATTCTCTTCTATGGTCAGCCTATTTATTCTTGTGCCAACATCACACTGTCTTAATTACTAAAGTTTCATAATAAGCTTTGATACTTGGTAGTGTAAACCTTCTAGATTCTTTTTCAATTTTTTATTATTTGTATTTAAGGGTGTAACGTTACCCCTAATCACTTTGGCTATCTTCTATACATTTTGAGAGCAGAATTTTATTATTATTTAGTTTTAAATATATTGTAACTTCCAGTATGACTTTAACTTCTGAGTTACTTAGAATTACATTTTAAAATTTTCAAATACATATTTATTATTATATATATATAATATTTACATATTAGGTATACTAGTTTCCTAGGGCTGCCACAATAAATTACTACAAACTGAGTGGCTTAAAACAAAATAAATTTATTCTCCCACAGATCTGGAGTTTAGAAGTCGAAATCAAAGTGTCAGCAGGAACATGGTCTCTCAAAAGTCTATCTGGGAGAATCTTTCCTTGTCTCTTCCAGCTTCTAGTGACCCCTAGTGCTCCTGGCTTTGGACAGCATGATTCCAATCTCTGCTCCTGTCTTCACATGGCCTCCTCTCCTCTTTTTATAAGTACACTAATCATTGGATTTAAGACCCACCCTACATCCAGGATGATATAACCTAGAGATCTTTAACTAATGACATCTGCAAAGACCCTATTTCCAAATAACATCACATTCTGAAGTTTCCTGTGGACATGAATTTTGGGGGGATTACTACTTAACCCATAAAACAGATTTTTGTTTCATTTTGTTATTCCATGTTTTTATTGTTGAGTTCTACTTTAGCTACACTGTAGTCAAAGAAGCTGTTCTGTTTGAACATCAATTCTTCAAAACCAACAGCTTCATCAATTTTTCTAAGTGTTCCATGTGTTCTTAAAAAAATGAAAAGTTCTCTATAGTAAGTCAAACTTTTAAATTCCATTTTTAAATCTTGTCTACTTTAATTTTCTTTCCTGGTCTCTCACTTTCTGATAGATATGTATTGTTGGGTTTACCTATATTTTCCTGTCATTTTTCCTGCATACAAGTTTGAGTAAAAGAAAATAAACCCAAATTTTATCTTATTGGTATATTTGAGACTTTTGTTATTATGAGGTAAACTCATAATATATATTAATATTTTTTGGCCTGGAATTTTATTTTGTCAATATTAACATTGCTCATTAGCTTTATTTTAGTTAGTATTTGCCAAATATATCATTTTCCATCTCTTCCATGTTTTGGGAGGTAAGGCAAAATAAACTGTAATCTAATCAAAAGAACATATACAAATGGTTTTGAAAGTCAAATAGTTCCAGTAAACTTATAACAGAAATCAACAGTTTTCAAATACCACCAATTTATTTAGCCATTTCTTCTAGTATCACTATCCTTGTTTCCAAATAACATGCCTTTATATTGCTGTATCCTTTTTAGTTCCAGAAATTATTTTTTATTTCCTTCTATGATCAATATGGATTTACCTTTTATAGAACTTTCCTGTCACACCCATATTCCCTCAATCTATCTTCTGAAAAGTTTTAGCCCTATATTAATGTTCATTGTTTATATATTATGTAAATTGTAGTCATGATGATTAAATCAATATTCAGTGATTGTGTTATGTTTCTATTATTCACAGTTAAACCAACTAGTATACTGTAATCACATTTATTTTCTTTTACAAAGTTTTGCTTTTACTGAGGAGTTAATAATTGCCTATTTTTGCATTTGCTATGTTTCTATATACCAATCCCTACATCATCCTCATAAATGTAAATAGAACTGAAAATCTCTTCTAAATACAGTCAACTACATAAGGTATTCTATCAACTCGACCTTTTTCTTACAGTCCTCAATCTGAACTTGTTCTAGATCTTCTGTACCACTGCTGCAATGGCAATTCCTTTCCCCTCTCTTCTATGTTGGCCCCATTTCCTCCATCCCATGTTTTCCTTTAAAAAAAATTAAATCTACTCCTTCATTTTATTTAGTGAAATAATTTTCCCTCAGAATTTCAAGGCATTACTCCTTTGGTTTCTAGTTCCATGTATTATTTTTGAAAAGCTTAATGTCAGTCTAATTTGCATTTCTTTATATGGTACCTGTTTTCTTTCTGGAAGCTTTCAGAATCTCTCTCCTTGCCAGTGTTTCAAAATTTCAAGGTCATGTGCCTTGGTGTGGATTTTTATGTACATGACAGTTCCTATTAGCATGGAAATTCATATCCTTCAGTTTTGGAATTTATTCCTATACTAGTCCTTTGAGTTCTTCTTTTCTATCTTCTCTATTATCTCTATGGAACATCTGTTTTTGATGTTGACCCTCTGGGGCCAATCTTGAATTTTTTTTCATTTTCCCTTCTTTTTATGTTGTTTCCTAACAGATTTCCTCACTTTTATATTCCAATCCTTCTACTGAGGTTTTTACTTCTGATATATTTAATGGGCTCACTTAGCTATTATACAAAAGTCACTATTCAATTTCCCCCAGCAAGTATCTTCCCCCTATTCTTCTTAATCCTTTAAAGTGAGAGGCTCTGAGGCTGGGCTTCTCCGAACGGTGAAATAAGAGGACTTTTCCTTAGGATGTTAAGTCTGGAAATAGACCAACAATAATAGTAGCAGTGGACCCACATAACAAGTGGGAAGTTATAGGGGTCCCTCAGTGAACAAAGCCCAACTTATTTCACACACATCATCCTTACCAAATGCAAACTAGAGGTGAGTTATATTTGGTAAGTTCATTGTGCAGACTTCTGATGGAGTTCCCTTAGTCTATCACTTTGTTCCCTGCCAATTTTTCTATATCCACCTCCTTCTCAATTGTCTGACAGTGGGATCACAGGGTTATCTATATGTACCAAATTACCACTAGTATATAGCTCGTATATGAGAGTTTTCATTTATGAACTACATTTTGCAAAAATATTTGCCTTTCTATTTACTTGGCAGCCTCAATGTTAACTGGCAGATGTACTTCTTTTATCTTATTTCAAAAGACTTCAAAATGCTTTTCAGTGCAACAAAAAGTTATCTGGAAGAATAAATGTGTGCACTTTAGCAAGCAGCCTTTCATTCGGTTTCCTCATAAAAGCATTAACAACATCACATGAAGTCATTAACACTATGCCAAAACTGGAACATAGAGCCAGCCTATGTTTGAATACTGCCCCGGGATCAGTAGGTCCTATTTGCCTAATAGCTATGCACAGGAATAAAAAACTGTAAATGCAACAAAGCAACACATGCAAGTATACATGTAGAAATTTCAGTGGCTCCTGGAATTTTTATTTAATAAATACTATTGTGCATCAGTTAAAGAAGCACAATGTCAGGGATGCAAAGGAAAAACAATCATGCAGATTCCTAAAGATTAAAAGCTTTTATAAAACAGTGGGACCTATATCTGGGGGCAAGGATGAAAATTCAAATACCCACAGTCACCAGACTGACAAGGCAGATGTATGAAGTGGATTGAGTCCGAGACTCGTGGGGACTGAAGCCAACAGGAGAATGTATGTCCTCTCTGCAGAGGACAACCATGCCTCAGGGTCAACTGATAACTGCCATGGAGGAATACAAGTTGAGTGCCACTACATATTCTGACTTCTCAAGGGAAGCCCCAAATCTTATTTTTAGATGTTGGCAGCAAAATTTTTAAAAATTTAAAACACCATGTGAGCCATACACTTTCCTGCAGAATCTAACCTATGAGACATTAGTTTGTACCAGCTGACAGATAAATTCATGAGGCATTTTAATCAAGATTTTCTATGAATTTTAGTCTTTAAAACATACTTAAATGGATACTATTTCATTTCAAAAGTTGCAGTATATTTCCCATAGTGAAAATAAAGTCTACACTTTTCAAAAATCTAAAGCATTTAAAAAGATTTTATATTTTCCTTCTTGTACATATCCAATAAAACAGCTAGGAGAAAAGTTTGCATTAACAAAGCAGAAAAAAAAGAAAGCCCGAACAATACTCTCATTTAAGATGAACAGGAAACAAAAAGGCCACAGAGGGCTTCCCTGGTGGCGCAGTGGTTGAGAATCTGCCTGCCAATGTAGGGGACACGGGTTCGAGCCCTGGTCTGGGAAGATCCCACATGCCGCGGAGCAACTGGGCCCGTGAGCCATAACTACTGAGCCTGCGCGTCTGGAGCCTGTGCTCCGCAACAAGAGAGGTCGCGATACTGAGAGGCCCATGCACTGCAATGAAGAGTGCCCCCGCTCGCCGCAACTAGAGAAAACCCTCGCACAGAAACGAAGACCAACACAGCCAAAAAGAAAGAAAGAAAGAAAGAAAGAAAGAAAGAAAGAAAGAAAGAAAGAAAGAAAGAAAGAAAGAGAGTTCCTTTAAAAAAAAAAAAAAGGCCACAGAATACACAAAGCCAATCCAGTCACCTGCATTATCTTTCTGAAAGGGTTTTTTCCCCATTGACAAGGATGCCTTAGTTACCACCCTCTTACTGTAGATTCCCTCTTTATGTTTAATGTTAACAGTGTCTGCCAGGTCATCATCCCTTGTGCCTAGCACCTGAGCCGGGAAGTCTGGAGCAATGGCATCATTGGATCCTACAGAAAAATGGAAAAGTAGTACAGTTAACACAAGTACAGATTGAAGAAAGACAAAAAATTTACCTCTTAAACCACTTCTATAAAAAAGGCACCACCAAAAAAAAAAAAAAAAAAAGGCACTACCATGGGAGTGTTACAGGGTAATCAGAAGGAGACATCAGTCAAACTGAAGCTGTCAGAAATGTACAATATTGCAGCAATATACTGGAGAAGCAAATGACATAAGAGGAGACATATAAATTAGAAGGGAGACAATTTCTGGCTCAGGAACGTTTTCAGAGGAGGAGAAAATAGTTTGTACCTTGGAAAATAAATAGGCTTTTTGAAATATGGAGAGGAAGAAACAAAGGCATTTTAGGTAGAGGTTACAGCATTAGCAAAGACCAGGAAGCAGGAAAACAGATTAAACAAAAAAGTCAGATACTTTTGTGGTCAGACCGTATTATGGACTACATTAAAGACAGTGGTGGGAGATACTAAAAATTGTTTGGGGTCTTCCCTGGTGGCGCAGTGGTTGAGAGTCTGCCTGCCGATGCAGGCGACACGGGTTCGTGCCCCGGTCCGGGAAGATCCCACATGCCACAGAGCGGCTGGGCCCGTGAGCCATGGCCGCTGAGCCTGCGCGTCCGGAGCCTGTGCTCCGCAACGGGAGAGGCCACAACAGTGAGAGGCCCACGTACCACAAAAAAATAAAAATAAAAAATTGTTTGGGACAAAATTCAGCAGGGCATGGAATCCCAAGCTAAAGGGGTAAAGAGTGTAAATTTTACCGTACATGAAATGCAACATCATTAAGGATTTTTTAATAAAGGGAACTGCAATCAGTTACATTTTAGGAAGCTTAATCTGACAATAATACAAAAGACAAAACATTGTAAGGAAAATTTTATGTGATAAAGTAAATACAAGATTTGAAAGTAACTTTCTTTAAAATATATTTCAATATTCTTAAAACCACTAATATAGGAACTGATAAGAGAAGTTTATCCATGTCACATATAAGAGGCAAAAGAACATCTCTGGATGTACAAGAGTTTATAGTAACTATAGAATTATCTTCTACAAAGATGCTTTTCTTTCTTAACTGGTACTCCATACTTCATGCATTTTCTAAGCACCTAAAATGTGTATGGCAATAAAAGCTGGGTAAGTATCAGTTCATTTGTACAGTATAAATATAAATAAGTCATGAGTTATATTTCAGGACAGATTGCAAGGATCCTATTAAGCCTTCCGGGTCATATGTACACTGAGCTTTTTCTTTGCTTCCGTGGCATCACGTTCTTTTATTTGCTCCCTACCTCTCTGGTAAATCCTTAGTGTCCTTTCTTCCACCAAATCTCTCAATGCTGGAGTTCCTCAAGGGGTCAGAACTGGGTTCTCTTCTCTTCCTGGATGAACTCATTGATCATCAATGTATGGAACACTACATGTGGATGACCAACAAATATATATCTCTAGCTGGAACCTGTTTTCTGAGCTTCAGATTCTAGCATTCAGGACACAGCTAGCCTCTAAGGCATTTGGAGGAAAAATTAGAAAAAGGTGTCCCTTCCTCATAAAAAAAAAATTTTATATATTATGATACAACACAAACAACTATACGTGAGGGTCTCTTCACCACCTCCCTTTATTCTCCAAAAGAGGTGATTATGTCAGGTTCAGAGTTAGGTAAGGAAGAATAATTAAGTTCCTGAGAGCAGTGCATGGATGTACAAGAGAATCAACCTCCTTGGAGCTGAGAGGTAGTTGAAAGAGAGTGTAGCCACACATATGTGTATATGCCATTGAATGTATGTGTACTTATTTTCCTGCATCTGTGCACAGCTGCAGAATGTGTGAAGATTTACGTTTCAGGCAGGAAGAGAGTTAACATTATTGCTCCAGAACTCTAACAGGAGATTTGGAATCTTCACACCTGGGTGTTTTCATAAAAAATGGCATATGTTTATGACGTGAACAGAGCCACCTTCTAGATAGTGCCCTTGCATACAAACTCAACTGTAAACATTCAATTTACATTCAATTGCAGGTTTAACATCTCTACATGGATGTGGAACAGAAATCTCATTTTTAACATGTCCAAAGCAGATATTTTGACCATCTTCTCCAAATCTGCTTCTTCCTCAGGCTTCTCCATCTCAGTAAATGGCACCTTTATTTACCCAGTTGCTTATTCTAGAAAACTAGAACTCATTTTTTTTTCACCTCCTTCTCCCTTACTCTCCATATTCTACTACCAAGTCCAGGAAGAACTATTTCCTAAAAATAAGTTGAATGTGTCCACTTCTCTCCATCTCTGTCATCATCACTCTAATCCTAGGTGCTACCACTTCTGACACTAATTACTGCAACAGCCTTCAGCTAACTGGTATCCTCACTTCTACTTCTTGACCCTCCCTTCACCTGGGCTCCTTGCCTTTCCATCCACAAGCTATCCTCCATATAGCAGCCTGAAAAAAATTTACAAATGTAAATCAAACCACAGTTGCCTACTAGAAGAAAGTTCAAATGCCTTAATATGGTTTACACAACCCTGGATCATCTTGAACCTACCTATCTTTAACCCTATCTAGCCACAGCTCTGCTCTACCCACACTGCCTTCTTCTCACTTGTCAAATGCATCGAACTTCCCGGTTTCTGGAGCTCCTCCCATTCTGTTCCCTTCCGCCAGAACACTCTCACTCCCCACTCTCCGCCTGCCTAACTTACCTATATCCTCTAGATCTCAGCTCAAAAGTTTCTTCTTTGGAAAGGCCTTCATGGGCTCCTAAAACTAAACTGGATCCTTTTACTCTCTTAAAACTCTTCTTTATTTTCCTAACTCGTCATTTGTAATTATGTACTTATTTGTATCTATTTGTTAATATGTGTCTCTCCACTTGAACATGATCATAGGGGGCATGTTTATTTTGCACAGCGGTACAAATGTAGCACCTAGCACAGTATCTGCCAGAAACACGGTAAGAACATTAATACTTTTTTGGTTGAAGAACAAATGAACATAAGCTGAAAGTTTCTGTGACCTTAAAAAAAAAATAACCTGCTCGTTGCAGAAAATTCAGAAAAGTAAGCAGAAAACAAACAAACCAAAAAACTTGACCATACTTTGGTTATAGATCCTTCTAAATGAATATATAGTGGGATCAAAATGTATATACTTTCAGTACCTTTTTTTCCCACCCAAATAGAGATATATTTTATTTAAATGGAATTTAAAGTCAGCATATAAAGTGAAAAAACATGCAGGGTCAAAATCATCTTTGAAGGTTGAAATTGTTATCTTGTCTGCTCAATAAATCCATCAGAGTCCACTTTTTCCCCCTGGCTTGTAACAAATCACTGTGCCTGCATCTAAGCACCTGATGAAGTACCTGACTAGTGTTTAGAGACCACATTGTACTAAAAACACTTAAACTCTAGAATCATACTCAGGGAAGCAAGTTAAAAGATGCTTAAACTATAAAAGTCAAATGCTGACAATGAACTTCGAGAACTGAGGTTTCCCACCTCTCATTTCAAACTCTCTCAGGATAATATGCTGATAAGAGTGTGGAGGGTACAACACACTTGTACTTTTAAGATTCATTCTCCTCTTCTCTTTTTGTTAAATACGTGTAATTGAACTTTTTTAAACGCATGTGTGACATAATGCCAACGTACGCCAAAATTACTTATCATAGTTAAAGATATTTCATCGTAATCCATTCATCTGACTTATTTATGCTATCTTAAAGTTTCTTGTTTCCTGTTTTTTTTTTGGCTGCGTTGGGTCTTTGTTGCTATGTGTGGGCTTTCTCTAGTTGTGGCAAGCGGGGGCTACTCTTCCTTGTGGTGCGCGGGCTTCTCATTGCAGTGGCTTCTCTTGTTGCGGAGCATGGGCTCTAGGCTCGCGGGCTTCAGTAGTCGTGGCATGAGGGCTCAGTAGCTGTGGTGCATGGACTTAGCTACTCCATGGCATGTGGGATCTTCCTGGACCAGGGCTTGAACCTGTGTTCCTTGCGATGGCAGGCAGATTCTTAACCACTGAGCCACCGTGGAAGCCCCTCTTGTTTCCTGTTCTTGTTCTATGTTATTTTGCTAATTTTATATACTCAACAATAATTTGGAAGACAGATATCTAGTTTTAAAATTCTTTTAGAGGTCTTTTTTGGGTAGCTTTTTTCCATTGTGGTAAAATATACATAAAATTTACTATTTTAAATATTTTTAAGTATACAAGTTAAGGCATTAAGTATATTCACATTGTTGTGCAATCATCACACCATCAATCTCCAGAATTAACTCATTTTCCCAAATGGAAACTCTGTACCTTTTAAACAATAACTCCCTTTTCCTCCTCCTCCAAGCCTTTTGTGACTGGCTTGTATTACTTAGCACAATGCCTTCAAAGTCCATCCACAGTGTAGCACATGTCAGAAATTCACTCCTTTTTAAGGCTGAATAATATTCTATTGTATGTATGTGTCACATTGTATTGATCCATTCATCAGTTCATAGACATGTGGATTGTTCTCACCCTTTGGCTATTGTTAATAATGCTGCTATGAACCTGGCTGTTCAAAACCTGTTCAAATCCCTGCTTTCAATTCTTTTGGGTATATACTTAGAAGCAGAATTGCCAGATCATATAGTAATTCTATGCTTAATTTTTTGAGGAACCACTACACTGTTTTCCACAGTGGCTATATCATTTTACATTCCCATCAGCAATACACAAGAGTTCCAATTTCACCATATCCCTGCTAACCCTTGCTCTTATTTCATAAAAGCCATCCTAATGGGTATGAAGTGGTATCTCTTTGTAGTTTTTATTTGCATTTCCTCCATGACTAATGATGTAAAACATCTTTTCACGTTCTTTTTGGCCATCTGTATCTTTCCTGGAGAAATGTCTCTTCAGATTCTGTACTCATTTAAAACTTAGATTGCTTTTTGCTGTTGTTGAACTGTAAGAGTTCTTCATATATTATGGATAGTCATCTCTCATCAGATA